TTTTATTTTTAAGACCATTATTACATTATCCTGGAAAGTTAGTGGTCCCCCAAAAATGCTCTAAAGCTTGTGGTCTCATGAGAAGTGCTTATCAAAAATTAGGTCTCAAGAAGTGGTCATCAAAAAAGTGGTCTAAATCTTGTGGTCACTGGAGAAATGGTCACCTAAGAAAGTGGTCGGAAGCAAAATTGGTGTCATACTAGGCCTTTCAAATGGTAGTCCTGCACTTATTCTTGCTCTAAATGTCTATTGTTTGTATGTTCACAATATTAGTAACATGGGGACACTTACACATTACAGTATACTAGTCAGAATGGCCAGATCAGTATATATATTTTTTCTAAAATGCAGCAGTCTGTTAATTTAGGTGACTGTACATGTATCCCACATGAGAGAGTTCACAAGATATTTGCATCACAAGTTGTTTGCCAATAGCTGAACATCACCAAGCAGCTCCATTTGGTTGTGATAGAGTTTTCAACACCTTAGAGTGTCATCATGTCACTAAATCATACATTGGCAATCAAAGATTACTACCGTATTCGACGCGTTAATACCCAGGTTCTCAACTTAGAAAATCATGTTTTTTTAGGGGTGGGTGCTTACCCGAGCACCCCCGCTGTATCATATAAAAACGATTACCAGTATTCGTTAAGCAATTATCAAAGACCAAGTTTTAAATTAGTGGCATTTTGAAGGGGTGGGCGCTTTGCCAAATATGACCCGAATATAAAAATTGTGCAAAAGTAGGGATGGGCGCTGGACCGGACCCAGTGGTTATTTACACAAATTACGTTTGCTGATTCATTCCTCTTTAAATGATAGGTTGCTGGTATCTGGGTACCTATTCCATGCATCGACAACGTTGGTTCCTGTACATACGATGACATCTGCTCTCTGATTCCAATCCCACCCACAGAGCCATGTCCACCACCATTCAGTACGTATAAGATACCATGCACATGTCCATTTCCAAAGGTAAGTCTAGCAGAAGTTACTACAGTCAAACCTGTGTTAACGACCACCTGTGCAGAGCGGCCACCTGCTCATAGCGACCACCTTAGTACAGAACCTTCGCAATTTACACGTTAAAGACACTGAATATAGCGACCACCTGTCCAAAGCGACCAGTGACCACCCTATTGTAAAACTATTCACACTTTAACCTTTGTATAACGACCACCAACATTTCCGTCAGACGGTATCAGCAAAAAGACAATAGCTACTTGCGAATTGCTAACAGGAAAGTGGCCATGTGTTACGTTCAGATAACCGAGTGCGCAATCTTTAGGGCTAAGAGACAGGGGTGACCATCGCAACTTGGTTTGTAAAGTTGCGAAAAAGTAAAAACAAAAAGTTGAATATCATCTGAATGTAACGTCTGGAGACTGGAAAATTTTAACAACAAATTAAAACAGTTTCATTTACAGTTTGAAATGACAAACTAGCTTGTTTCTGATCGGTACTATACTATCGATCCCCAGCTGGCCAGCGGCACTTCTGTGGACTGTCTCGCAC